TCTAGAGTAATGAAAATGAGGTCAACGTTTTTACCTAATAGGATGGGTGCCTTTGCAAGAGGGTTCGTCGGCTATTCGAGTTCAAGATCGGTGTCCTTTTCCTCGGATGACGAAGATGGAGATGGAGGTGGACGTCAAGCCTTTTGCTTAAGCCTCTTGCCTTTACTTTGAGAAGTCGACATTTTAAAAAAAATTTGTGGATTTTCGAACTAGAGCTCGAGTGAAGAATTGGAAAACTGAAAATGTTATGAAAGTGAGAATGAGAGATATAATACATTGCAAAAATAGTAGATTACTCACTTGTAGTTTGAATTTCGAGCAAGAGTTAAAAAAAATGAGAAGAAGACTAGGGTTAGAAGATTTTTGAATTGAAGAAGGAAAAATTGCCTGGGCAATTGCAAAGCGCGAAGATGAGGAGAAATTGACTTGAAGAATCGAGTTTAGGAGGTTGAAGTTATGATATAGCGATGGAATTAGAGATTTGATAGGAGGATAGTCGCGTTTGAGAGGTGAAGAACTTACGTGCCATCCATGATTGAATCATCTTGTTCACTTCCAACTCCAGCCGAGTCAATAAACCTGCTCGAATCACTACAACCAATCCCAACTCCACCTGAATTGTCAAACCTGCTCAAATCGCCATGAGCAACATGATCAATAAGATCACAACCAGCTCCACCTGAGCTACTAGAAGGTTTCCCAATATTATTATCCAAGTCACCATGAGCAACTCGATCACAACCACTCTACCCACGTTACCGCTTACTAAACCATAAGCTGTAGCTGCTTCCTCCATGATCGCTGAACCTTCCAACACATGTAACCGGGACTTTCTCCGTCCCCTTAACACAATCTAGGCACACTTGCTAACTTTAAGAACTCCACCTCACCTCTATCTATATACCTGTATCCTTTTAAATTAAGAGTACTAAAACAGATCAGCTTTTTGTTTATACCTTGAACATATCGAACTTGGCCAAGTGTTTTAACCGTCCCATTCAATATCTTGATTTTGACGTTACCAATCCCAGCTATTCTACAAGGCTAATTGATTCCCGTCATCACGAAACCCCTTACAACTATTTTATATGAAGAAATCCAATCACGGTTTGAACACATATGTAAAGTGCAAGATGAATCAAGAATTCCATCATCGTCAGGTTTGGAGTCACTTTCGCTAATCGCCAACAAATCTCCATCACCATTCTCTTGTGCAAGATTAACATTACCGAATGGTTGTTACTTCACCATTTTTAGTTTTGACCCTATGTGCAGAATCAATCAATCAAAAGCAATAAGTCACTTTTAATTGTTTCTAGATAATTAAGTATACAAGTCCAATTATCCTATATTTGAATACCGCAATAATAAAGAAAGCAATAATAAACACTGATATGATGACAAAGAAATCCAAAGTGGGTAAAAATTTCGGGACCAAGTCAGTTACCTCCACTATAGACAATACGAAGTGAGTTATAGTCAAATGCTATCTAATCAACTTACTAGACTTCCTGATCTATTTCCTACTAACTTCAAGGTTTGCTCCAAGATCTTCTGCAATTGTCTCTTCCAAGTGAAATTCCAAGAACCCGCTCTAAGGCTTGTACTCTTCCTACGCTTGTAGTCCAATCTCTCTCAACCTCCAGCAGCCTCTGAAGTTCAACTGAGAAAGTACCTTCCTATGACTAATAGGAAGTAGGTGGTGTTTGTATTCAATGGGTTTGATACTTTTCCCAAATATGTGGTTGTATAAAATCAAGAGTAAAAGACAAACATAACATGGTATTGACCTATCTAGTTTGGAAACATTTTTGGGAAAAATAGAAGATGATGGATGTCCTAATCTGTAGTGTCAGACATCCAAAGGTTCTGAAGAGCTCGTAACAGGTGCTGCAACACGTGGAGTCTGTAATTGGTTTAAATTTTGCTGAAGTACTGCAGAAGGAACTATTGTCTTCACTAAATGGTAAAGGCCTGACTTCAAGTCACCGATTCCAGTCGTGATCCAAGCCAAAAGGTCCTGTAATAGCAATGATTAGAAAGGAAAACAACACAACAATGTGATTCCAAGGTCAACTTTCTAACAGATATTAAATTGAAATCAAAACAGAGGACACATTATACATCATGAAGAGTCAAAGAGTTTGTGATTTGGGTTGTCCCAATTTGTGTAACAGGGACAGTGCTCCCATTTGGCAGAGAAACAAAGCAATTAGTTTGTGATTTAATGGATGTAAAATGAGATGGTGAACAGATCATATGATCTGTTGCAGAATCTAAGGAGTTTTGTCAAAACATTTAGTTGTACTAGATGACAAGCAATATGATGTACCAAAGACTTTTGAAACTATACTCTCAGAGTTTGATTCAGTGCTTTGAGCCTGGTTCGTTGGTGGTTTCAGAATAGCCATGAGTTGGAAATATCGTTCTTGAGTCATTGGTACCTGACGCTTGTTGTTCTGTTCCTGACTTGGAGACATAACAACAGAGACCTGATTTGCTGCCAGTTTGTACCTATTCTTCCCATCATTTCTGAGAGTTGAAGGGTATCCATGAATTTTGAAACACTTATCAGCCTTGTGTCCTGGTGTTTGACAGTGTGAACGTATGGGCCTATTTGGGTTGGCCTTAAAGTATCTTTCAAAGGAGTGTCCTGCAATCTTACAGAAGGTACAAAATAGTCATTTTTTCTGAAATGAAGATCCCTGCTTACTATTCTCTCTCCCCAATTTCCTTTGGCCACGAAGGACATGTTCTCATTCACAGATCCCTCTACTGATATCTGCCTCCTTTTCTATGCCTGTTGGATAGTGGCATAGACTTCATTCAAGGTGGGAAAGAGTTTCATCAGTAAGATCTGCGCCTTAATGTCTTTGTATGATTCATTCAATTCCATTAGGAATTTCATTACCCAATCTCGCAGTTGGTTGTCAACTACCATCTGCAGAGCACCACAAGTGCAATTGAGGATGTTTTCATAATTCAGAAGTTCATCCAGGAGGGTTTTAAACTTGGAAAAATAAGTACTCACATCATTTTGGCTTTGAAATAGAACCATGATGGCCTGCTTAACTTCATAGACTCTAGGAGCATTCTGTTGTACAAAACGCTATTCGAGTTCTAACAACAACTGATGTGTAGTTTGAGCATACACAATACTGCATTTGATGTCCACTGCCATGGTGTTTTGGAGCCAAGTAATGACAATATCATTGCATCTTAACCAATGCTCCATTATAGGGTCATTCTGATAAGTTGGCTCACAGATTGTACCATCTATGAACCCCAACTTATTCTTGATTCTGAGGTCATTTTATGGTTCTAGCCCAGGAATGGTAATTATTTGCTTCGAGTGTTTGAGTAATCAATGTACCCCCATTCCCATCATTGCTTCCAATGAAATAGAGGCTGCTTGGATGTGTAGGTTCTTGATGAATCACTTTAGACTTCAAAAATTTGCTCAACCATTATTTTGGCTCTGATACCATATAATGAAATGGAATAAAATTGAAGATAGAAATGCTGAGATGATGCATTGAAAAACCACAATAAGTTTGATTGTAATTATTGTAATTGATTGATACTTAATGAACGAGTTTACAGCCACATATACACTTACAAAACCTGTGCCAAAGGGAATAATTACAAAGTATCAAATATGGTTACAAAATAATAAACTCCATGTGATGAAGTTGTCTAGATCATTTCTCCTTCTAGATCATTCCTTATGTCTTGGACCCTCAATGCTTGGCTGCTTAGCCAACTGTGATGCCACCTCATTTGCTAGCTGAAGATCTACCATGTGATCAACTTGCTTGTTATAATTTAACAATCACAACTACAAAAAATTATTGCATTATCTTCTACTGGGGCAGAATATATAGTTGCAACTGATGCTATAAAAGAAGGAATTTGGCTGAAAAGACTCTAAATGTATTTGGTTTTGTTAAAGATATTGTTTAATATTTTAATAGTCAATCTGCCATATATTTGAGTAGAAATCCTTTTTTACAAAATAGATCTAAATATGTTGATATTAAGGATGTGTTTGGGCCATATTATTTTGGAAGAATGTATTTTGGAATAATAGATTGATGGAGAGTGCGTAGTTGAAAAAGAAAGAAAAGTTATTAATGTGATGAAAAATATTATTTTATTGTAGAATGTATGTATAAAAATAAGTAGAAAAATGAAAATGAAATTTTTTAATATGAACCAAATATAAGCTAAATTTCATTTTATTAGAAATGTTATCTCTCAAAGTGTTGTAAAACTTGATGTTGGTACTAAAGTGCTGCCTTTAAATAAGTTTTTAGACTGTTTAAGTCAACTAAATCTTAACACTTGCTGATTTGTGTTTTGGATCAAAAGCGTGTTTTAAGTGGAATGCGTTTTTCTTATTGAATTTGGACAGCCAAGATGTCGCCAAGTGTCGTCCTAATTACCGTTGGACGGAGACCTTCAAGTTTCTATTATCTGTTCAATTTGCCTAGGGTTTGAGAGATTTTTTCATTCATTATCTCTCTTTGCTTGTCTATGTGATTTTACATCTTCTCTCTTTCACTCAAAAGGCAGATAGTCGTTTTGATCAAGTTGTATAAATCTTGAGTGGTTTATATGTGTGTTGAGAGTTGTGTTCTTGAGTGAACATTTGTATAGATTGAAAAGCTAGTGTTGATGAAATATTGAGTGGTTTTCTGAGTGCTTTTGAAAGTGTATTTTGGA